ACTATACAATAATGCAATCTGGGTTTGTACTCCCTAAGTACTCTGACTATCTCCCCCCATTCTCTAAATCCATGGATATTCCATTTTTATTAGCTGAACAATAGTGTTACACACTGATTCTTCAACTTAAAAAAAGGGATAAGGGTCTGAAAAATACCCAACTTTAGTTGGATTTGTTGTTGCTATACTAAACTTTCATAAGGACCTATTACCTCCTTAGACTATTTAATACCGTATTTTTTACCCCTTGAACTATTTAATAGTGTATTTTAAAGGTATATATGTGCCAACGTGGACACATTACTATTTATAATTTTGCATTATTTTTTATGTCTACATGAGAAAATATATATGTTTAAAATACGGTATTAAATAGTCTAGGGAGGTAATAGGTCCTTATGAAAGTTTAGTATCGCAACAGCAAATCCGACCAAAGTTGGAGTATTTTTCAGACCCTTATCCCTTAAAAAAACTGATATCCATAACATGTCTTCTTGCATTTCTCCGTTTCCACAATTCCCATATTATAATGCTTGGTATTACTTGGAACACGAATTTCACTTTGATAGGAGTGTTAGCTTCCCACCATTCTGTTATCATTTGTTTCAAATTTCCTTGCTGTTGAATACCTACACATGAAGCAAACTTCCTCCATAGCTTTTGGGCTATGGAAGTTGTTAGAAAAAGATGTTGTGTATTCTCCTCTTAAAAAACATCACAACAATAACATCTCGAGGCTAAAGCAATTCCCATCCTTTTAAGATTTTCCTCCGTTGCAATTCTGCCCCTCCAAGTCCTCCATAGTAGAAAACTCATCTTAAAAGGTATTTGCTTGCCCCATAAATTATTCCTCCATTCCTCCTTTTCCTTTATACGTCTCAACAGTTCAAATATTGATTTGATTGTAAATTCCCCACTTGTATTTCCCATCCACTAAATAGTAATGTGTCCACGTGGGCACATATATACCTTTAAAATACACTATTAAATAGTTCAGGGGGTAAAAAATACGATATTAAATAGTCTAGGGAGGTAATAGGTCTTCATGAAAGTTTAGTATCGCAACAGCAAATCCGACCAAAGTTGGAGTATTTTTCAGACCCTTATCCCTTAAAAAAACTGATATCCATAACATGTCTTCTTGCATTTCTCCGTTTCCACAATTCCCATATTATAATGCTTGGTATTACTTGGAACACGAATTTCACTTTGATAGGAGTGTTAGCTTCCCACCATTCTGTTATCATTTGTTTCAAATTTCCTTGCTGTTGAATACCTACACATGAAGCAAACTTCCTCCATAGCTTTTGGGCTATGGAAGTTGTTAGAAAAAGATGTTGTGTATTCTCCTCTTAAAAAACATCACAACAATAACATCTCGAGGCTAAAGCAATTCCCATCCTTTTAAGATTTTCCTCCGTTGCAATTCTGCCCCTCCAAGTCCTCCATAGTAGAAAACTCATCTTAAAAGGTATTTGCTTGCCCCATAAATTATTCCTCCATTCCTCCTTTTCCTTTATACGTCTCAACAGTTCAAATATTGATTTGATTGTAAATTCCCCACTTGTATTTCCCATCCACCAAGGTTTATCCACCTCCTCCACTAGACGTGGATGAATGAATTCAATAATATACTCCATCATTCCTTCTGATATTAAATGTCCCAGCTTTTGAACATTCCACTCCCCATTTGTGATGAAATTTTTCACCTCTATTTCATCCTCCCCGACTCTATGGTCCTCTAAAAAATATAAAGCTTCTTGCTTTGTCCAATTATCAAACCAAAAACTCATTTCTCCCTATTTGAGTTGCCACCAAATGTTGTGGTCAACTTCTTCCCTTTACTCGACCATTCTTTTCCAAGCATGAAAAGCCCCTCTACTCGTGGCCAATACCGGATGCTGTTTCTTACAATATTTCGCCCACATATATGTACTCCACAAAGAAGTAGAGGTTTTGAAATTCCACCATAACTTACTATATAGTGCTTTCGATACATCATATAATGATCTCACACCTATTCCCCCTTCTGCTTTAGGATAACATAATTCTTTCCAAGCTACCCAATGTTTTCGTTTATTTCCTCATGCCTTACTCCAGAAAAAGCTTGCAAACAACTGATGTAATTGAGTCATGACTCTTTTTGTCGGATTCATAGCTGAAAGAAGGTACATTGGCATTGACAGTAATATACTAGTAATGAGAATTACTTTCCCCCCATATGATAGCCATTTATTCTGCCAGGATAAGAGCCTCTTTTGTATTTTCCTCAACAATTCTTCATAATATACATTCTTCTTTCTGCCATAGAACATCGGGCACCCCAAATATGTGAAAGGGAAATTTCCTTGTCTAATCCCTGTAATTCTCCTTACTCTCATTGCTACTATCAGGGGTGTATTATCATGAAGATAAAAAAAACTCTTATTGAGATTTATCAGCTCATATTCCCTTAGTATCCCCATCATCTTCTTAATAGACTCCTTCTCTCCCGAACAAAATAATATGATGTCATCCGCATACGATAAATGGTTTATTGGTGGGCTCCATTTAGGCATGCCATATCCTTTTAAAATCTTTATCTTCGTGGAGTTTATTTAAACCCCTCATTAATACCTCCGCTGCAATGGTAAACAAAGTAGGAGATAACAGATCCCCCTGCTTTAATCCCCTTGATGATTTAAAGAAACCATATGGCTGCCCATTCACTAAAATTGAGTACCAATTATTAGATACCAATCTCCAAACCATATCAATGATCAGTTCTGAGAAACCAAATCTCCTTAATACTTTGGTTTAAAAAACCATGACACCCTATCATATGCTTTGGCCATGTCAAGCTTCACGACCACGTTTTGAAACTTTTTTCTTATGTTAATGTCCCATATTATCTCATGGGCTAACAAAACATTCTCCATTATACTCCTGCCTTTCACAAAGCCAGATTGATTACGAAATACTCCCTCCGTCCCTTTTTAGTTGTCCACTTTAGAAATGGCACACAGATTAAAGCAACAATGATTAGCACAGTGAAGTTACAATTTTACCCTTATGACAACTTTTCACTTCAAAATTACAACCACTTATTTGAATTCAAGTGAAATAAATTGGTGGGAAACAACATACACTTTTACAATTTTCAAGAAGTGTAAATAAGGGTATAATAGGAAAAAATTTGTTGTCCTTTCTTGATTTGTCAAAATGGACAACTAAATAGGGACAACCAAAAAAGGAAATATGGACAAGTAAATAGGGACGGAGGGAGTAATAAATAGGAATGATATTAAGATAATTGAGTTTCATTATGTGACAAAGAATTTGTTGAATCAAAGCTGATTATTATTGGCAAAACTGTTTGAAGGATTACATTAGTTGTTTGGCTTGTGTATGTTTGATACATTTTCTATCAATTTATTGGACACTTCTTGGGCGTCTGAAAGCATTCTATTTCATACTGGTATTGTACTATACTCATGATTCAGTATGTTAGTATGCAGAAAAATGAATCTTGAGATTTTTTGCACTTTAATCTCTTCGTATTTATATATATATATATATATATATATATATATATTGTACCAATTTTTCACTTTCAAGTTTTTTTTTTTGATAAAATGACATTTCAACTTTGAAACAGCCATCAATGATAGAATCAAAATTTTCATCAAAACAATCTTATTTAATTATATTATATAATTTTGCAACGAAAAAATGTTCGTTAAAGTACATATGGCTCCGTCAGTGATAGTGACAAATTCAAGTGTAACCTCTAAGTTATACTCCCTCCGTCCCTTTTTAGTTGTCCACTTTAGAAATGGCACACAGATTAAGGCAACAATGATTAGCACAGTGAAGTTACAATTTTACCCTTATGACAACTTTTCACTTCAAAATTACAACCACTTATTTGAATTCAAGTGAAATAAATTGGTGGGAAACAACATACACTTTTACAATTTTCAAGAAGTGTAAATAAGGGTATAATAGGAAAAAATTTGTTGTCCTTTCTTGATTTGTCAAAATGGACAACTAAATAGGGACAATCAAAAAAGGAAATATGGACAAGTAAATAGGGACGGAGGGAGTATAAGACTTGGTAACAATTTTGATATTCTTTGGTGAATCAATCTTGAAATAATTTTGTTAACAAAAGTACCAAGACTTACTGGTCTCAAATCAACAAAGCTCATTGGCTTCTCCTTTTTTGGCAACAACACCATATTCGTATGCGTGATAAATTTAGGAAATTCATGCCCGCAAAAGAAAGTCCTTACCATCCATGTGGTATCTACCCCCACTATTTCCCAATAGCTCTGGAAAAATTCCCCTGAAAATCCATCCCGGCCACTTGTGCTATCCCCATTAAGCACAAACACAACCTCTCTCACTTCCTCCATATTTGGCATTCTTCCTATCTCATCATTTTGTTTCTGAGTGATAATTTTCGGAATCAAATCAAGCATGCTATCATCAACACTTGTGTTTGTTTCCGTAAATTGATCTTAAAAAAATGACACTACCTCCATTCCAATATTCTCATTCCCATTCACCGTATCCCCTTGAGCTGTAGTGATTTCAGAGATAAACAATTTTCTTCTTCTTCCTTTCACATAATTGTGAAAAAACCTTGTATTTCTGTCTCCATCTTTGAACCATCTCATTCCTAACTTCTGTCTCCAAAATTCCTCCTCCATACACATGTACTTTTTCAATTCTACTTCAGTTTTGTTTAATTCCTATCTATTTCGAGGTGATGGATTGATCTCCAGTTGCATCTCTTTCATTCGAATTTCCTCCTCCAGCATCTGAACTTGCCGAAAAATGTCCCCAAATGTCTCTTTACTCCAACATGTCAAAGCTTGTTTAACCTTTTTAATCTTTGCTTGAAATTCCAAGAACAGTGAACCTTTAAATTCCACCTTCCAATTCTCCTCCACTACCTTCTTAAATTTTGGTTGTTTTGTCCAAAAGTTAAGAAACTTAAACGGCCGAGTTATGGATTACTCCTCCGAGTTACATATCAAATGCAAAGGCGCATGATCTGATCCTTGCCTTATCAAGTGTTGTACTTTGCTGCTAGGATAAAGTTGTTCAAATTCCTGATTACATAGAACCCTATCCAACTTTTTGAAAATACAATCTCCTTTTACCCTGCCATTCCACCAGGTGAATTTACTCCCCATAGCTCTAACCTTTGACAATGCACAATTATTAATACACTGTTGGAAATCCATCGCTTCATAGGTTGTAAACTCTCTGCCCCCTTGCTTCTCTTCTTCATTCAGAATAATATTAAAATCCCCTCCAGCAAGCCATGGATGATTTTTTCCGGCTAACTCCTCTAGCTCCTCCAACAACTCTAATCTCTCCAAAGCATTGCACCTCACATAAACTGCTATAACCATGAACTGAACATTTCCAGCTTCAAACCTCATGGAAAGATGTTGAACAATATCTCTTACCACCTCCCATATCCAATCATCATCCCAAAATATCCATATCTTGGCTGAACACTTACAAAAAGCATTTTGAAATCCCAATCTTCTTTTATATTGTTCTAACTCTCGTGGCTCTTGAAAAGGTTCCAACAAAGCTATATATTTGTACCGGTGTCTCCTGTTTAGATCTATCATTCAATCGAAGGCCTTGTGAGACCTAACCGACCTGATATTCCAAAATAATGCTTTCCCAATCATTGAGAAACTCCTCCAGAAGTATCCTTATTGCTCCTTGTTTTAACTTGAAGAGGGAGGTATGGTACAGTCTTTTTAACTCCGCTCTTCAAATTATTTATTTGTGTTGGTGAAAGATCTCCATCCCTTGCTATTGTATCAATATTTGCATTCACTTCCCCATCCTCTTCTGTGTCTCCTCTACGCTGTATTTCCTCATTCGAATGCTCTTGCAAATCATTTATCCCCTCTTCAAAGAAACTGGAACTTCCTTTATTCTCCATTCTTTCTGGTACACCTCCCCCTATGTTCCCCACTTTACTACCTTTGTCCTCACTTTCCACTTTTTCATTGTTTTCCTTATCTACTGTTAGAGAAGTATCTAAGGCCTCAACTTCATTAACTGTATCTCCTTTTCTCGACCCCTACTGATCTCTTTTCTTTTTAATGCCACAACTCTCTTCAATCTTCTCTTTTTCTCTAAAAGCTTCCTCCACCCATTTTTTTGTTGAACCAACCTCGTTCCCTACATTGTTGTCCCTATAACCCTTCCTTGTGTAGGCTCATCCTCCTCCTCATCATCTAACCTTCCCAAAGCGTCAAACTGATTCCCCGTGATCCCATCCTCCTTCTTCTTTTGACTTTGTTTTGGATTCCACACCTGTAAAACTTTATTTTGTCCCATCTTCCTTTCCCAACCACCCTTTTTCTTTTTTTGTTCCTTGAATACATCCTCATCTATGTTTTGTACTATTTCCCTTCTCTCCACATGATGCTCTTCCGGACTTTTATTGTCCTTATCCCCCTTACCTCTAGCACAGTCTGCAACATCATTCCCTTCCTTCTTTGGATATAACTCTGATAACATTCTTGTTCATCATGTCCTTGAATACAACAATTTTTACAATATTTTGGGACATAATCATATTTAATACGGATCCATTTCTCCATAACTTCCCTAAATTGTTTTCTTACACCCACATTAATTCTCTTAGGAAATTCACCTAATAGATCCACCTCCACTTTTACCCTTGCACAACTAGGCCTAGTTTGATTCTTCATAGCTAGATCGACCTGTAATGGTTTCCCTACCGCAGCTGCCAACGAGAAAACATCTTCCTTAATGAAAAAGTTTGGTGGTAATGCTTGAAAAGATATCCAAGCAATCGCCCTTGAAGTTTCCTTTTCCAGATCAAACATTGGATCCCATTTCAAAGTTTGCATTGGGTAGGACCATCCCCGATGTGTTAAATGATAAGTAGGTTTGGATAGAAGACTCACATAATCTTCCAAATATGAGGCCCTAATGAGTACATGTCAATTGCTTAATAATCCAATCTTACATCCCCCCTTATTTCACACTGTTTTGGAATCAATTTTCTTAATTCCTGAGTCTCCGGCCAACCATACGAGAATTTGCCAATGACTGCAAATTCCAAATTCTTCTTAATGATCATATACTCAACTTCCTCCTCTTTCCAAACTATTCTTCGTTCCCCGTGTAAATACGAAATAGGTTTTAATGGTATAGGTTTAGCAATTCGCGTCGGGGGGGGGGGATAATATTGCAGCATACTACCTTTTTTGCTCTAGTTCAATCGATGTTTCTGTATGGTCTATCCCCAAGAGGGATTGACCAGATGAATTGGTTGTCATAACCACCAGAATGATTAGGTAAACGGCGGCGACGACGTTGACTAGGGTTTCACAGAGCGTTTAGCTACATTACCAATTATTTCATGAGGTTTGCTTCAATCCATAGTGATTTTTTTGGGTTTCCCATCCGGTGTCCGATACCCACATTGGTGTCACGCCCCAGATTCAAGGGCGCAACTGGCTTCTAATGCCAGAACTCAGGCTCGAGCCGACCCTGCTGCACCATTTGCTACTAGCGCATGGCAGCCACAAACAGTCAATAAAATCAATAAGTATATCTCGGCTTAAAATTAAGCCCTCGGCCGGCAAGACCCCTGTCAAATGATCTATAAAAGAAATAGCTACTCCCAGGAAATCATATAAATAAATAGCGAACAAGCACAGAAGTTCTGGTTGGGCCGTCGAGGCCACCATGATATCTATACCAAAACTAAAAGCAGGCATATATCAATACAATACATCAAACAGCTCACAAGCTTCCGCAAACCAACAACATAGTCCAGCATGACAATAACGTAGCTATAAACCCACACACTAGTCTGCAAGACTCTAAGAGTAGTAAAGATTGGTGGGACAGGGCCCCAGCCTATCTATGAGAATATATACAAAAAAAGGTAACAAACCTCCCAACTCCGGCAGCTTTGGAGGAAAGGGACTGACCAACCAAATAAAAGTCAATCCTGCTGCTGAGGAGGTCTACTAGGTCGTCTGTCCGGACCTGCATGCATGAATGCCGAGCCCCCAAGGCAATGGGGCGTCAGTACAAAATAATGTACATAGTATGAAAGGCAATAGACTATGATGAGGTATCCTGATATACTGGAAAAATCTGATAAATAAATCAAGGATAAGAAACTGTACTGACCTGCTCCTAAATCTAAACTTATCAAAAATAATAAAACCATAACCTAACCAAGCCCCCATAAGCTCGACAGGTACAAACAGCATAGAACACCACCTACTCAGGCCCCCATAAGCCCGGAAGGTGCCAATCAGCCTGTATACCCCTATCGGTAGTCCCCTAGCCCCGCAGGTAGTCACATAGCCCTCTTAGGCATCAACATAGCTTATAGACAACTCATAGCCCTCTTAGGCAACAACATGGCCCTGTAGGAAGCACATAACCTTCTTAGGCGTCAATATATATCCTTGTAGGCAACTCATAGCCTTTCTAGGCATCAATATAGACCCGTAGGCAACTCATAGCCTTTCTAGGCATCAATATAGACCCGTAGGCAACTCATAGCCTTTCTAGGCATCAATATAGACCCGTAGGCAACTCATAGCCCTTTTAGGCGTCCATATAGACCTGTAGGCAGAACATAACCCTTCTAGGCATAGATCACATTCCCGCAGCTAACCACAATAGCCCAAAGGCAACAATAACAATCCAACAGCTAAAAGCGAGCAATTTAGTTCTTAAGCAACCTATACAAATAGTCTCTAAGTCGTGTCCAACATACGAATGCTACTATTGAATAAGAATCTCGATAAGAGAGGATTATACGAACTCGAGCAGCCAACAATCAACAATAATGGCTACAAGTATAACAACGATAACATCTCAATTACATTGCTCCTAAGCTTTAAGGAAACATGCCATAAGAAGAGAATAGCCTTAACATATCTTTTTCGCTAAATTCACGCGGCTTAACGACTTTAACTCATAACTCCCTCGATACTACAACCAAGGTAGGACCATAATCAACACACAAAAATAAAAGATACCATAACAATATCATAAAAGATATGTATTTCCATCGCAAATTGATGTTTGCTGCTTATAAAAGCTATAGTCGATGAAAGAAGGGTCTTACCTCAATCTTAGGTTCGTAATTCGCCTCAAAACCTTCAAATATATTCAAACCCTTGTTGTCCCAACACTAAAGTGCGATATGCTACGCAATCGATAAAACAAATTATACCATGATGATGAGCCCAACGCGTAGACCAACTTTCGTCAAGGACTTACGTCGAGAAAATCTATATTTCACTTGATCCTAGAAATGGGTTTCTATAATTTCTCTGTTTTTTTGGCTTAAAAATGGAGAAAAAGGTCGAAGGAGAAGATATATGTAACATTCCACCGACTTAGGGCCCCACCTCACGTGTCTGCTTGCGCAGTCCCTCGAAAATGCGAATATCTCTTTATTCTGAAGTCGTATGAACGAACAGTTTGATTAGTGGAAACTAGACTCGTAGACCTTCGATTTCATAGCTCGCGGGGACCATAACTCTTAATAGATTGGGAAAAAACATCCGAGACATTTGACTCAAATTTCAGACAAATCTTTAAAAAGGAATTTACGGTAACTTTCGCCAACTTTTATTTTGCCACTTACCTAACTTCAAAACTTGAGATACCACACTTGAACACTTAAAATATCACATAACACATCATTTTTAATTTATTACTCACCCTCCTTGTCTTTCCACGAAGATACAAGTTAATTTAGACATTTTGAAAAGTCGGGGTGTTACAATTGGAGCCCGACTAAATCCAGATTCGCGTCGAAAAGTCCCACATTGGGGGGTAAAACGCTCCCTAACAAAGGCGACTCTGTATCCAATGTCTACAAATCATATTAGAATGTACTTTCAATCCCAATGGAATTTTTATGTTCATTTCTTGTTGGAGATCTTCTAATAGGAAGGCGCAGTGAATATTGTTGATATTTAATTTTGATCTTTCGACGGTAGAGCCGTCAAAATGGTCTTAGTCTATGAGGTCGGTCCAACTCAATCTATTATTGGGGTAGGGTTATGATAGGATTTTTCAAGCCCATTTAAAACTAAGGCTTATAAGTCCGACCCATTTAAACCGTTGACCCTTGAGGCTTGATCGGGCTCGGCCCGTGTGCCAAAACTATTTATATAAGGGTAACTTATAGAAATCTTATTAGTGTATGACTTAATTACTTAGATGCACGTTATGTTGTAATATTACAAATTTTATCAAATTTTGGTGTGTCCAGATACATGTATCTCGGGATACATAGGCTCAAAATTATGTGTAATGTGTTCTAGATACAGTCTATCCAAGTGAATTCGAATGTATCTTGGATACATAGACAAATATCACGCTCTCACGTCTCTCCCATTTGTTCGTCACTCTCTTATCTCGCTCGCGTATTTGGGATGTATCACACCAGATAAATGTATTTTGCGTATCTAGTATCCTAGATACATGCTAATCACACTAGATTTTTTGCTAGTGTTACTGAAAAAACACCATTGTTTGCCATATTTGATCTGAAAAATCTTCTCATTTTCTTTATGTTATTGAATTTTAAGTTTGAAAATAA